GAAACTGGAAGTGGCGAGAGCACGTTTCCATGCTGCTGATTCGAGGCTGGATATCAGCTCGGTATTGATGATGCTCAGGGGGGGGGGGGGGGCGTCTCCATTTCCCCGGAGAATACTCTGGAGCAAGGCTACGCTGAAGGTCACGATGGTTCCATCTAGCCACCGACGTTGGATGATTTGATCGATGCCAGGATCGTCAGCCATCAGATGACGGTATCGTCGGCTCAAGTCTAAATTTGCTAACTGTACTGGTGCCGGCTGTCGCAGGTCTGGGTACACTGGCGGCAGGAATGTCACTCCCGGGAGACTGTACTGGTGCACCGGTGTCGCAATCTGATACCACTGGCATGGAATTGTCACTCGTGGACGGCTGTAACTGGTGCGGCGTTTGTCGCGGGTTTTGGACACACTGGTGGCAGGAATTGAGCCGATGCTGGCATAATAACTGATGTGTCTGGTGTAGCAACGGGTGCTGACACATCTTCCTGGCTACCGATGATGAGCGACAATACTTGCCAGACGTCACTCGACCTCGCTGTGTCGAGTTCGCGCTGTAAGTGAGGACTGTTGTGTCTGTGGCCTTGGGTGAAGACGCCTGGTCTCGCTGCACAGCTGCGCGGCACCACGGAGCTCCTGCGTCTGTCAGCGTCCTGATGAGCTGCAAAAGCTGAACTTATCTTGCCGATTCATCAGTGACCAGTCCAACGATATCACGGACGTCGTTGATTTGGGCGGAATAAGATATTCACCAATATTGGAGAAGAGCGGTAGTCGTTTTGAGGCCAATAAAAGAGACCCTGCTCCCGTGCTTCATAATAAGGTTAATAATTGTTTCCATAATCCGTCAAGATGTATAAATATCATGTGAGGGTTAATGGAGAAGTAACTAATGTCATACACACATTATCTTTCAGATTAAAAAGCGACAAAATTACTGAGCGCGTTTAGCTCTAAAGACCCATATTTCAGCGCATTTCGCAGCATTTTTTACGGGTTCAATGCGAATAATATCGACATCGACGAACAACCATTAAACTGTGTGCGGCTTGAGCAGAGCCGCCTGGTGGTTGTTAATTTGTTTTAAAGGAAATGTTTAAAAGGGAGACAGGTAAAATACCGGCATACCCAAACGGCAGACAATGGCAATGACATGCAACTGGTTCATGGGCAGTGGACGGTAACGAATTCCGTCGGAGACGAAAAATTCAAACGGCAGGCGGAGAGACGTAGAGAATGACAATGATTTTAAAATGAGAATGACAAAATACGCGATAAATTTAGCAATAATGTTGAAAAAGGAGATACGCAATGCAATACGAGCATAATGAGTGCGATGGGGCTTAAACCGGCCAGTGAAAATAATGTCCCATATGGAGCTGAGTTACACCTTGCCTACTCCTTAATTTAGTGATGGGGCATGCTCGCGAGATTCAATGGCTTCTTCAGCAATGCGTCGAGAGCGGTTGGGTTCTATAGCCAAATGATTGGCTTTTGACTAGTCGAAGGTTTTCGACACTGAATCTAATGCCCTGCCAGTGGCAAGGTTTTCTCCCGTGTATGTTTCAGTGCAACGTGTTCTTTCAGTCTGGCTGTTTTTGGCGGATCTGCTTCCCCAGTGCATGCTCCACCACATTCGTATCCCGTTTTTTACGCCACCTCCTTTTCCTGTTCATTGTGTATGATGTCTTCCATATGGACGAGCCGTTCTCTCAGAGCAGGTCTGGAGCTGTGTGCCACTTTAATGTTGAGTGGAGCTAGTGTCCTGCTAATTCTGTCACTAATGTCTGGTATGCGGAGTGCTGCCTTAAGGTGACTCAACTGTTTGACTTTTGGTTATGTGCCTTTGTTATGGACATAGTTCGGCCCACATATTTTTCTAATAACCATTGTCTTAGAGCTATTTCTTCTCGGCGAGCACTGTCTGTCACGTGAGTCCTAAGTCATAATAAGACATACAAACTAGACGATACCGAGTATTTTTCCGATAAAACATAATAAGAAAAAGAGACTTCGCTTCCGGAGGTGCCATAAACAGTAAAGCGGCAAATGCCGCTAGAAAATGGCTCATGGATGTGTTGGGACGCAGATCATTGTGTGAATGCAGTTTTCGCATCTCGGAAATAATCGAATACGGTATATGTAAACACATGCGCAGCTTTTGGGGAGTTTTGTGACGTGCTTTTGCTAGTGGCGATATTGATTATCATTCCGTCCCCAAACAATACTCCTGGCGACTTTCTACTGCGCTGGCATATCAGAAAGCTGGCAGGCCCGCGCAGACAACAACGTGTATGACGGGCTTTAACTCGTCCATGGTCTCCTATGCTAGAGGCGAAGGCACGCCTTGTTATCCAGGTGGTGTTTCTGACCGTCCTGGTGTTTAGGGGCGTTTGCACCTCTTCACGTCATCCCGGAAGAGTGCATGGTCGGAGCAACCTACCGAAACTTCTGCATACACCAGTGCAGCATCTAGATGACAGTGACATTTGGAAGGTGGCTGACTACTTATCAAATTCTTCTCAGCTGCCTGACAATGGTTAGTACTGGTCGCTTGGGCCATGCCGTGTTCTGTGTACCGACAATGACCAGTGTAGGTAGCGAGCGATGTTCCTCACCATTTGACGCTTGTGATCGATGCGACCCATTTGACTATCTATGAAAAATACCAGCCGACAGGCACAAAATGTCTATGTCATTAAGAGACTGGTATCTACTTTGTATTAACACTAGCAGAGTCTACGCATCTGCAGCATTTGTTGTGCGTGGTAAAACTATTACCAATATCAGCATGCTCTATAATTTTGATCTTAGTGTGTCATTTGTATGCGAACGAAAAGAAACGGGCTGACCGCAAGTTAGTTAGTTATAGTTATACTTGTATTTTTCTTTGTCTTTTTTATTTACTTAATTTCGCGCACTATTGTCAATACTGGCATTTCCTACTCCTTATTAGCACAGCTACCTCTGACAAATTTGCGAAGGGCTGTTCGTTAGGTAAATTTTACACGCGGCATGATCTTAAAGAAATGTTCACGACACATGCATATCTCACCTGTGAAAAGGGGTATGACCACTCAAAATAAGTTAGGGGGCCTAACCAGTGAAGAACAGCACAACCTACCCCAAAATGAACCAAAATTTTTTTCTCGCCAGTTTTGGCACAGTTTCTTCTCAAAGTTGGGGGGCTGAAGCCCAAGTTGGAGTTGAAGCCCCCGCCCTTCCCCAAATGAAAAAATTGTACTCACTCCTGGGAAGCAAAGTTTATTGCGATTTTAAGTCAAACGTGCATGTTCTTCGAAAATAATTTCAATTATCGGTGATACTTCACGTCAAAACAAAACATACGACGAATGAGTGCCGTGTAGAAAAGCCTGTGAAGCCGTGCTCATCATTCCATTACTGAACATCACTTCAGCTCATGTTCAACATGAGCACCGCGGCCGGCGATGCATATCTTGATGCGTCTTGGAACTGTCTCGACCGCTCTCCTAGCGTTCGGGGGTGGCCGCTTCCAACCTGGCGGCTGCTATCCCCGCTGCACTGACACGGGTCTTTTGGATAGTTTGGGTACGGTGCACATGTTTCCAAGTTTACTAGGCAACTTTGGCACGTTCGTCTACCCTCTCGCTTCCTTTTGAGGCATGGGACTGCAGCTGTTTCGCGAGTATTAGATGCACACTAAACTTTCGCAGCCGCAGTCTTATTGTGCTAACGGGCGCGGAGTGAATGTTTACCCGCGCCCGGCCAGAGGTCTGAGACAACGGGGGCCGGGGTGGGAAGTTGACTGCCCCCTGGGATCTCCAATTTCCAGACGTGCTACGAGAAAAACAAAGATACTGTTGTGGGGGTCTCGTCAAATTATGAAGAATACATACCCAATTTTTGACCTGAGGTCAATTGTGAGATCACCAGATGCCACGAAAGGAAACGAAATGGTTCAGATAGACGTAGTTAAAACATACGCTCATATGTCAAGACGATATTGAGAGAGCAGACTTAAGCGTTCAGACTGTTGGGAGCTCATTCCTACCATTTTTGTTCCTCCGCAACGGTCAGGTCAGACCGGGTCACCGTTTATAGCTGGTCCGCCAGCAGCCTGCAAGAACGATACGCTTTTTGTTCTCTGTCATGAAATGTTTCAGGCTTATTTATCTCTTTACATGCAACTGTGGGAAAAAGCATCCTAGACGCAAAAAATGTCATGTTAAGACCGCCTAGAGGTTAGCTAAGGCCAACTGACGTCAAATTCATGAACCATCCAATAAGAAATCTAAGAACTAACCGGGCATAAAATACCAGTACAATGCTTAATAAAAGACCGCATAGCTCCTGGATATATTATGCATAGTCCCTTCGACGCTTGTCAATAAACGTGTAGCAAATTAAAGTTTAAACCCTGTGCGGGGACTAACGGGACCTAAACCCTGCGGAGAATCAAACCCTGTACGGTTGGTTTCTTAGACGAGCCACTTAACAAGGTCGGGACCGTAGAATTCATTCCGCAGACAGGCAGTAGCATATAAAGATGCGCATTGATTTAACTGTCGCTGCTTTTCGGGCACGAGCTCTGCGTCAGGTATCAGTTGCGTTGCGTTCTTAAGAACTCATTGGCGTTTGCAGATGACGCTAGCAAGCTGGACAACCTCTACTACAGAAAAATGCTGGAGTACGTCTTCGGCTCTGGCGTAAAAGATACTGAAGCCTCAGCGTCGGATCCCTTGCGTATCGTTGTGAAGTTGGATAGCAACCGTCCACGCAGCAGGACTACATGGCTCACAGCGGGACCACCTCCAAACAAGGCGTCCAGGACTGGCACTGGACTCCGGGACCGGCCTCGCATGAGCCGCCCCAGGCACAGAGCCGCACCTGAGGCCCCCCAGCGCCGCGGCGTACCCCTCTCCACCCGAGACCGCTTTTACTTCTTGCGCCACCTGCGCGCGGACCTGCCGGCGCTGGACCAGGTGCTGGCGGAGGAGCCGGAGCCTCCCGAGCCGGAGCCGTTGTCCACCACCGAGCGGCCCGAGCAGCCGGACCGGACGGCGCAAACGGCCGACCAGCGCCTGCAGGACGTGCTGCGCGGCATGGTGACGTACGGCGAGGCCGCTGAGGGCGACGAGGGCACGCTGGAGGAGGTGCGCCAGCTGGCGGCGAGGGAGAACACGCGGCCGTCACTGCCCCGCCCCGGGAAGGACCTGTTGGAGCTCATCGAGGACAAGTCCATCTCGAAAACGCGCCGCAGGAGGGACGCGGCGAGGACGGACATGAAGCAGCTGACGGACTTCATGTCACAGGAAAACTACTCGCAAGAGCTGATTAACAGCTTCCAGACGGGCGGCGTCAAGCGACACAACTCGATCAAGAAAGAGCTACGCGAGCCCATCGACATTGATATGCACGGCATAGCGGTCATGGCGGCGTCGCTGCGGAAGCGCAGCGCGCCGGTCCAGGCTACCACAGCTGACCGGCTGGACGTGACCGCCACCGATGTGGACAACTTGGGGGTCGACACCATCGGGCGTGCTGTTCGCAACCCGAGCGGCGATCCCAGCGCCACCTACGACATCATCACGGCACCGGGCGCTGCCACATATGCCATTCCCTCAGGGTCCGGTGCTGCCACCTATGGCACGGGCTCTGCGCGAGCGCGGCGGCGGCGCAGCGCGCCTGGCACGCGACGCGTGCTGGACAAGATCCGGATCGCGCCTGACCTGCCCGACATGATGACCCTGGACCCGGAGGACGTGCTAGAGAGCGAGGAGAGTCCACTGCTGCCGGTGCGCGTGATCTCCGGCGCCGAGCGCGACCCGTTCGAGGTGACTGAGCGCGGCGCGCTTGTGTTCGAGGAGAGCGAGCGGCGCCCCACCTGGAGCCCCTGGGGTCTCTGGGGGCCCTGTTCAGTCACCTGCGGCCCCGGGCAGAAGGCGCGCTACCGACACTGCGTGCAGGGGCCGCGCTGTGAGCCTGGCGAGCGAGAGTCAGACTTCAAGCCCTGCCTGAGGAGGTCCTGCACGCTCCCCGTACCCGCGGGGCTCCTGGACGCCTTTTGATGGCGTGTGTGGGGAGAACGCTCCCAAATACATTTTCACATCACGCCAGCTTGAATGAATTGCTGCTGCAGCTGTGGTTACCCTGGGAGACGACTGAGAACGTTCCAGTCGCCACAGCCGGTGAGGAGAGTACCTCCCCGTCCACCAAAGCAGCATCCCGCAGACAAACGTAACTGTTCATGAATGCGATGGTCTTTCGGTGCGCATCCCAAGTGCCGCACAGGGCATGAATGGGGCAAGCAGGCTTATGGCTGAGTAACTTTTCTTCGGCTTTCTGCTGAGCTCTGAGCAAATTCAAAGTAGAAAATCAGCAACGAAATCAGGTCGTTTTCTCATGACGAATGCTGGTACAAATCAACCGCCATCACGCTTGCACACAAGTCATCAATACCACGAAACCAAACAGATTCCTTAGAAATAACCCCCGAACTGCCTGCAAAACAATCGCCATCCAATCCAACGTCTGTGTAAGTTATACCTCTTGCCACTCTCTCTTGCCACTCCTTTTCATAACAGCGCTGTATAGCCGGTGGCACGAGCTGCCCATCAGCCAATGTGCCCAACGCCCGATCGCATCACCAGCCTGAAAACGTCCCAGAACGCCTTCCCTCAGATTGACGGATGGCGAAGACAACCGCAGAACTTCTGTGCTGGTTTATTCAAAAAGTGGGGTACAAAATATGACCTGTTCCGTCGCCACCCACCGCTCCGCCAATAGACGCGTGTCGAAATGCAAACAGCACAGAGTATTTTGAAGGGCGACGGCGCGCGCCGGTGGCGCCGCCGCTGCCGGTTTCCTGTCTGGCTGGCCTTGACTGCCTCTGCCCACGTGACGCTCCCACCAGGCCTCGCGGGAGCGGAGCCGCGCGGCCGGCCGGCCGGCGCGTCGCCCCCGCCGACGGGGGCGCCGCGAGCCGCCCGGCCGCCGGCCCGGGTCTTGCCACGGGGGACTCCAGCGCCGCGCCCCTCCGTCCGTCCTGCTGCTGCTGCCGTCCTGCCGCCGCCGCCGTCCGCATCGCACCGCCACCGCCGCTTTACGATCGGATCCGCGCCATAGTGTTCCTTCAGTCACGATTCTTCGGTTTCGTCCCCGCGCCCGCTCGGACGGCGGCCTCCGCCTCACTGCCGCGGGCGCCAGTCCGCGCCGGCCCCGCTCCTCCGCGCACTCCCTCACTCATTCACCGTCTGCCGATCGGGGGCTGAGCCCCGCCGCAGCGCACCTTTGCACTGTAACGTTGGCGCGCGCCGGCCGGGGGCGCCGGCGCCGCCTAGTTCTGCACGGCCTCCGAGCGTGGCTCGGCGCTCGGCCAGCTGCTGGCCTCCTGGCCCCGCTCAGAGCGGCCGCCGCGCTGGTACGAGCCGTCGCCACCGCCGCCACCCCGCCGGCTGTTGTACCTGCGATCAGTCAGCACGGTCAGGCGCCGCGTTGGCTCGCGCCGCTGGCGCCTCTCACAGCCCGGCTGGCAACGGTGTCCCGCAGATGGACACCGCACACTGATGCAGGGACCAGCATCAATGTGCAACATCCCCCCCCCCCCCCCCCCCCCTGGAAGGATTACAGCTGCCTGACGTTCGACGGCTTGCAGGCGGCGGAACAAAAATAAACCGTGAAGCACAAGCAAGCAAAGCCGAAAAAGGTAGCGGTGAAATCAGTTCATGACAAGAGCCCAAACGGTGTCCGATAACACTGCATCCCCGCTCGAGCGCCGGGGCCGTCGGGCACTGACCCCCGGTTGTAGTTGTTGTAGTATCCCCGGTAACCGCCCCGGTTGTTGTAGTAGCCGCCACCACGGTTGTTATAGTAGCCTCCGCCGCCGCGGTTGCCGTAGTAGCCGCCGCCGCCGCCGCCGCCGCCGCCGCCGCCGCGGTTGTTATAGTAGCCGCGCCCGTAGCCGCCGCGCCGGTACGGCCGGCGCGTGCCCTCCACGCCGAACGTCTCCAGGTTCTGCTTGCGCTCCTTCTGCCAGTCCTGGCGGCGCTGCCGGTTGCTGCCGGGCAGGGCGGCCGGTGAGCGCGGGCCGCGGCCGGACGGTGGGCGGCGCTCGGCTGGGGTTGGGTCAGCGCCCGCCCGCGGACGGGCGGCCGGGGGTGTCGACAGGCGGCGCCTCCACCCGCGCCCGCGCCGCGCAGGCGGCGGCTGGCGCGGGGAGGCGCCGCTTTGGCGTGCAAGGATGTCAAACATCATGCCCAGCGGCGGGGTCACGGACCGACAGACGCGACGGCTACAGCAAGGCGCGGGCGTGAGCGGGCACTGCCGCCCACGCTCCTCACAGACCACACTGATCTGGTATCCCAGATAACGCTCTGTGGGTGAGCTTGTGGGCCTGTGGACGGTTTGCTCGAGTTCGTCGGCTTGTTGATAAGCTCGCGAACAGTTCGGTAAAGCGGAAAGCAAGATGACGAACATCACAACGCTTGCAACGTGGGTGGAGCAACGTTTTTTAAGTTGGCATAGACTGGAAGTAGACCCAACAATTTGGTGTGGGAAGTCCACGACAACGCAAACTCCACGTCAATCTAGGCGCGACAGTCATTTCATCTAAACGATCTTCTCTGTAATATTTATACCAAAAAAGATAGTTCCACTCAAAACAAACACTCCGCCTTGCAGTGTGACTGGCTGCGCAGGATTTGGTACCCGTTATTCTTTACGGCTGATTGCTAGGCCGCGGGGGTGTGGCTGTCGCTGTGAGAGCCGCTACGACTGGCGTCAGTCCGTAACCTTAAAAACTCGCACTCAGACATCACAGCAGCGTACTCACTCTCTGGCCTTCTCGATGGCATCGCAGCTGATGTTGTCGAAAAACGACTTGGTTTTGTTGTAGAAGACGACCGGCTCCTCAGCCTGGTCGGGCACCTCGCCCTCCTCCGGCTCCTCCTCGGCGCCGGCCTCGCCGGCCTCGCCGTTCTCATCAGCGCCAGCCGGGGTGGCTGCGGCACCGGGCCAGACGTCAGCACGGCGCGCACCGGGCGCATGCGCAGCGTCGGCACAGCGCGCCGAAGCCTGTACAGCGGCCACCGCTGCCACTATACAGGCTCCAGATGCCACCTAACGGTAAGCCCTGAAACCACCTTTCCACAGCGTACATCGCCGCGGCAGTCGTACATCTTTAAGTTAACCATAAACCGCGAGCCGGAGCCCCTCCACCTGAAGCCCACCCCACCGCCCACGCCGCACTTACTGATCTTCGTCTTGGCGAGCTGGGCGGCCAGCTCCTCGAACTTCTTGTTGGCCTCCTCGAAGTCGAAGTCGCCGTCGAACTTTATGGGGCGCGCGCTGACCTGGAAGGTGCCCCGGCTCTGGCCGCGGCCGCCGCGCCGTCCGCCGCGCTGCGTGCGGTACCCGCCGCCGCCTCCGCCACCGCCGCCCCGCTGGTAGCTGTGGTAGCCACCGCGCTGGCTGCGCCGGCGGGCGGCAAGGGGGCCGCGTCAGTCGTCCGCGAGGGGCGGAGCGGCGGCGACCGCGGACGAGCACACCACCGCCGCACCAACGCTCAGACAAATGCTACGGCACCAGTTACCCAAAGTTTTGTGGGTATGGCAGTACGTGTGTGCTAACTGCGGCGATACTATGGCTTTGGACCAGCGCCCTTGCACCCAGCCATAATCAAAACGGGCTTCACTTAGGGATCGCCACACACCGACCCTGCACGCGACACATCCTACATGACCATCTCTAAAAGCAAACTCGCCCAGATCCCGAAGTAAACCCGAAAAGATCCACACCACAACCACAGGGGCGTAGTTGTCTAGCAGTTAGTGCCTTGGTCTCCCACCTAGGGAGCTAGACAGCGAATCTCGCTTGCTCCGTGGCCCCCGAGCACTTATTTGGCCTATGCAGTCGGTGGCGCTCTATAAAAGGGTCATGACAAAGCGCGTGCCATTCCCTTAGCAAACCTCACGCGCACATCACACTACGACCGGTGCGAGCGGCTGTCAGTGCCCGCGCGGGACGCCGGGCGGCGGCGGCGGCGGCGGCGCCTCTCACCCGTCGCGGTGCCGGTGCTGCCGGTCCTGCTGGGTCTGCACGCCCTGGTCGATGGTCGGGGAGCGGCGCGACGGCGTGGTCGACCGCGACGAGCCCGTCAGCAGGTCGGCTGAAGCACAGACAAGCGCGTCACGCGCCGTCACCGGCCCAGTCGACGCCGAGGTCCGCCCTTCGCGCAAACAGTGACTAGGCAGAGACGTGTGTGTAATGAATACTTTCATACATGAAACTAGCTTCCTTGTGGGGTCACTGGAGTGACTTGATGACTTGATGATGAGCTGTTCTGCAGATAGAAATTCAATATACACTGTATGAAACTAGCTTCCTTGTGGGGTCACTGGAGTGACTTGATGACTTGATGATCAGCTGTTTTGCAGACAGAAATTCAATATACACATCACCTGTGACATGCTTTGACCCAAGTTAGTACACCTATCCCCAAACGCTTTGCAGCATTAGCAATGACCTTGAACAAAGGCCAAGAAAGTCGATTTAACGCATGAAACAATGCACGTAAACAAGCCAGGCGCAACCAATCTCATCACGAACACAGAGCTGTGCACGAATAAAGCGAGCTACAGGTTCCCAATGGCTTAGGCAACAAAGGTGCAGACTTTCCACCAACGGACACCAGTGCAATAAAACCCTGATGGCTGCAGCAAACTTCATGCAACCCGACTGAAAAGTTTGGCTATCATTTAAAACAGCTCCGAACACGAGAACTAAACGAAAAGCACGACTACACTGCCGCAAACGAAAAGCACAACTACACTGCCACGAGCGAACGGCGACGGCGGCGGCGGCGGCGGACGGTGCTCAGTACCTGCCGGCTGGGCGGGCGCCGCATAGTCCATGATGCCGCCGCCGGAGACGAGCGCGGACTCACTGGAAGGTGCGGCGGCGGCGGACAGCGGGCCGCCGGGCGCCGCCGCCGCCGCCGGCAGCCTGCTGACGGCCCCGCCGGCGGCCGCCGCCCCGTTCAGGCCGAACCCGGCGCCGGCCGGGCCGGCGGCCGCGCCGAACGGCGGCGGCTGCGAGAGCCGGCCGCCGGCCGCCAGCGGGCCGCCCGGCGCGCCGCCCGAGCTGGTCGACGACCCCATCTGGCGGCAGCCGTGACGCCGACGGTCGGGTCAGCAGGCACGGCGGCGACGGCGAAGGGAGCGCCGACACGCCACACGCAGAGAACGGTCAGAGCTTCCCAGTTCGCCATGCTTTGACAGCTGCAGGTTGGCTTCTTAGATTCAGAGCGACCGTTTGCTCCGGCGCCACGCCATCGGCCGCCCAAGAGAAATTTGGCGCAGGGAAAACCCAATCAGAACACCATTGGCAGGTTCCGACTTCATCAGAAGCCAGGGAGCCTCACCTCAACAATTGCCGGGTCATCATAGGTCTTCTGGACTTGGACATTGCAGAGCTTGATGTCCTTGATGTCGGAGCCACGGAACACGATGAAGTCATAGATCTCATCTCTCTCAGCTACAGGTCGTTCAGTCGGCCGATCTTCGGTACCGAATGAACGGACTGGAAACAGGCGCACTGGTGTAAGCGCGACAAAGCAATCCAGACAAGAAACCCACAGTCTACTAGCCTACCTGGGTGTTAATGCAAAGCGGTCAAATGCTTTAAGGTGCTTCAGCACGCAACCCGATTTGCATGTGTGAAGCTATAACATGTTTCAGCACTACAGTCATCAGGATGTGTTGCTTACTCATGACCAATTAATTGTTGACAAGCTGTGATGCATAAAGTTTAATTAAACATCTATGCACACAATGTGATGCTCAGACCATTGTTCATCACATATCTACATCTAATGATTTAGGTACTGTCATGTCCGAAAATTTGGGCGCGAATAATGTGGCTGTGCCGTTGATGATGTAAGTTCACTTGTCTTGTTTTCTTCTGGATCAAATAATTACATAATGTATGGCTAATTTTCTGGGTAACCTAATCTTACTTGAACAGCACCAGCCTGATTCAAATTATCGTGGCCATCTTTGAGGAGTGATATTGACATTACAATGCTGTCTATCTGTGTCCGTCTAGCTGTGTCCGCCTATCTGTGTCCGCCTATGTGTCCGCCTATATGTGTCTGTCTATCCGTGTCCGTCTATCCTTGTCTGTGCCTGTGTCTGCCTCATCTATATGTGTCCTTCTATCCGCGTCCATCTATCCGTGTCTGTCTATCCGTGTCTGTCTATCCGTGTCCGTCCATCCGCGTCCGTTCATCTGTGTCCGTCCATCTGTGTCCGTCCATCTGTGTCCGTCCATCGTCCATCTGTGTCCGTCCATCTGTGTCCGTTTATCTGTGTCCACCTATCTGTGTCCACCTATCTGTGTCCACCTATCTGTGTCCACCTATCTGTGTCCACCTATCTGTGTCCACCTATCTGTGTCCACCTGTCTGTGTCCGTCTATCTGTGTCCGTCTATCTGTGTCCGTCTATCTGTGTCCGTCTATCTGTGTCCGTCTATCTGTGTCCATCTATCTGCATCTGTCTATCTGTGTCTGTCGGCCTGTGTCTGTCAGTCTGTGTCTGCATGTCTGCATGTCTATGTGTCTGCATGTCCATGCCTGTGTCTGTCCATGCCTGTGTCTGTCCATGCCTGTGTATGCCCATGTCCATGTCTTGTCTGTGTCTGTCCATGTCTGTGTCTGTCTGTGTCTGTCTGTGCCTGTCTTACATACAAAAATGAGACTTCCTGTTATCTGAACAGGAGAGACTGATCAACAGGTCATTTGGCTTTTAACCCTGCTCATCACTATAATGAAATATGGCAAGGTTAGTCAATTCAAAATTCAGCACTAGTTGGTAAGGTCTGAGTTTGGTGCACACATTGGTGCACAGATTCAGAATGTGATGTGGGCAAAGCCAACCATGTAAGCCATGTAGGTGTTGCTAGGAATGTCATGCAGGTACCCAGTCCAGTGGATAGACTGCGAGCTAGCACCACACCAGCATTACTAATGAAGATCTGCCAGCAGCCTCCAGGAAGAACACTGGTTGGGTTGTGGCAAAGGCATGTTAGGTCTGATGGACCCGTGGAAGCCTGTTCCTTTGCTAGCATCAAGTATTTGTGTTTCACATTTGATGATAGAAAACCTTTTAACTGCAATAACATTATCACCACCATCATGCACACTGTTATATTAACACTTATTATGCTAGAATGATAAAAGCCAATCTGTCTGAATGTTGTGCTTTTCAACATAGACAACATAGACCTTGTATACAATAGGCAATCTCAATGGGACTTCAAGGTCTCCAATTGCCAACTAATCTGCCAGAAGTCTACCCCTGTTGACCCATTCAATCTGACAGAAGTCTATCCCCCATTGACCCACTCAATGCTGCAGGCATCTGCCAATCCATCAAGGGTTGGCAACCAGCCCATAAGGCATTTAGGGCAGCACACTTCTGTGGTTGGAGCAGTGGCCAGTCACTTGATGTCTGGGAGACTCTCAAAAATTTTCCTGACAATCGTATTTGCACTTACTGATCACGAATAACCCTTACAGCTGCTACAGCCAAGTCAGATTGAATTGATCAAATCACACTGATTCAATCACCAAATCACATTGAATTTACTATCCAACATTTTGCAATATGGACAAAATTAAAGTTTCAGCATCACCACACTGATGCCAATCACATGGTGTGCAGCTTTAGGCCTGTTTACCAATTCAGAACACACAGTGGAACCTGGCAGAAGCAAAATGCTTCATCCTTGTGCAAGATTTATGTCAGAGCTTTTCAAATTTATTAGTGTATCTCTCCATAGGGGGAGATATTTACCAGCCCTAAATATGGAAAGCTGGGATAATGAAAGCAATGAACACCCCACAGCACATTTAACACAAATGCAGCACACTTGGCTTTTGAGCTGTTTATTATGAATGACCACTACTTCAGTGTTGGAAAACTTGATTTTTCCTGGTACAATGTATACCAGGAGATTTTACACTCCAGGACTGTGACTAGGTAAAATGGAACATTTTGTACTCCATCATGATGCAATAAAAAGTTTTTGGAAAAACTCATTGTATTTCCCTGTTTCAGGACAACATTAAACCAGAAGGTGTAACAGCTTGAGACTCGCTGCTTACCGGGAAAATGAAAAACGAGTGGCAGAATCACACCAGTCTGTAGATAAGCACAGCTCTCACTTCCTATGCCCTATGCAGACCAACTCAAACTTGAACATGACTTAACCTACCACTGACGACGAACCGCATTAATTGCCAAGGATACAATGAACAGTGAAAGAAAAACACAACTAAGAACCTGCTACAGACGGCCGGCTGCTCACGCGCCACCACTGTGTCATGGCAATGAAAATTAGAGAATCACTCGCAATTCAGCGTCAGAAACGTCTGAACTATTCAGCGACTTGCACCTGCCTCCCAGCTCAGGTTGGGTGTTGAACATAGCAAAACTCTCCAACTGATCTTAATGATTCGCCTCCTCGTGACTGATTTGTCATGAGCATATATATTCTGCTCACGCTCATGCCTTGAACAGCCATGTTAACATTTGGAGGGAAGCTATATAGAGATGGGCATTCTGATTATGACGAATGGCTTATTAGTACTCATCCAGAACTGCCATGTGATTGGAATTTTTCGCCACTCCCTGGTATTCAGAGTACAAAAATGTTATGGCAGCTGGAGATTTAAGCCAAGTTAAATTTGTCACTTAAGGATGTGAACTTAAACCCGGTAATTCAGGCTTTACAAAAATACCCATTAGTTGAAAAATGTTCATGTCAATAGCCAAAAAACTGTTAGGAGACAGCCATCTCACTCAGACAAAAACACCAGGACACCAGAGTAACATGAGCCCATAACTTTGGCCCCGCAAATTAAGGAGAAGGGTATATAGACAAAAACATCAATGAATTGCAACATAAATTATCACATTTTGCAATGATATGGGTTAAAGCACATCAAATTCAACAAGTACATTGTATTATCCGCCGGAGTCAGCGGAGTGACCGAATCCGATCCCTCTTGGCCGGCCCGGCCGGGTCTGTCAGGCATTGTGCTTGCGTTGGCTCGGTATCGGTCGAGAGTGCTGCCTGTTTCTACGATTCGGGGTATGCCGGCCCGGTGTGTTATCCAGGAGGTGGAGGGCATGAATGTTGAGCCATTTTTAAACCAGTTAGCTGGTAGAGGTGCGTAGCATGACCATGGTGGAGCATGAGTAGTGTGATCATGGTGGATCACAGGTAGGTGGCAGTGTTCATTTGCATTTTTTTAGTACCATTTTTCTCCAGCCGTGTATACCACAGCCAACATCCATGTTGGATGGCCTATAAGCCAGGTGCGTAGCCACCCTCCATGTTGGAGGGTGTATATGCCTGGTGTGCAACCATCTGCCTTTTTGGAGGGTGCATATGCACAGCCTGTCATAAATTGCAAACCCATACATATACACCTGTGTTTCATAGTACAGAGCCTGAGACAGTTCTTTCAGTGTGCCATGTTTAATACTAATGTCTCATTTCACTCAGTGTTTTTACATGAAGTGCTACATATGAAAAGTGGCACTTTTGTTGAGTTCCACTCATTGTACTGTTATCTCTCAAAGGGAAACTTAATAAAATTGTAATAACCCATGGCACTCAGTATTTTATACTCCACTTGTATTATTCCATTGCATTTGTACTCTGCTACCAGGAAACTTTTTATAATTTCAAACACTGCACTACTTCACTATATATGTACATATATGTACATATATATACATATATATATATATATATACATATATATATATATATATATACATATATATATATACATATATATATATATACATATATATACATATATATATATATATATATATATATGTGTGTGTGTGCATGTGTGTGTGTGTGTTTGTATATATGTGTGTGTGTGTTAGTTTGCTTGATCTCTGCCTCAGCTGAACACCTGTGCCCCAATGCAGCAGTCTGCAAGAAATGCCAGACCAGCTAACTTGACATTTGAGGCAGGTCTGATCCTGTCCCAATTCTGTCAGCCTCTTCTCTGCATGGAGAAGGGTCTGCTATTTCATAACCAGGGGCAGGGGTTTCATCTAATTTGCACTTATTAATTGGTTACCACTAAATACTGTGCACAAACACCAGATGTGACAAAAAGAGGACTTGAAGCATTCACATTCCACTTATGTATGGTGCAGATGGCATTCAATCTTGTGTGCAATGGTGCTCCAACTAAGCTGCTACCAGACCAACCTAACTTTCATTGAGTCCATGACAACAGCAAAGGCAAAACAACAGCAAAAGGCAACTTTTCTACAGGCTACACAAGTTCCAAAAAACAACACCAGACATTTGGCACAATCCAGACATGTCTGGTCTGTACCACACACACCAACACACCAAACTTTAACGAAGAGGCGATTCTTTATGTTCTGGCGCCCGTTGGAAATGCTTTGTACCAGCATCGTCCCACAATTCAAATGGCATCCAACCCGCACTTAAATTAAACATTTAGCACCAATTAAAGTGGAGAATCCGTGAACGCACGATAGAAAACTAAAACACGACTCACCTTGCGCTAGGGTGACCGTACCCTGGACGGTGTCAATTGTGTACAGGATACCCTCATACCGGATCTGGGAGCTGGAAATGAGACTGATCCTGTTCCCCAGGTACGGAAAATCCGACATTTTGAGACCCCTAATTCAGAACAATCTAATGAGCGCACTGTCCGAAAAAACCTATGATGACAGGACAATAGACTAAATATCCGCGACGAAAACCGGCCCTCCACGCCAACACGCCATAACGCAACCAATAAAGTGACGAGGTCATGCAAACCGATAACAACATCGATTTCGATCGATATTTCAGTGAAGTTATAAATCATTTTGACCTATGGGACAAATTGCTTAAAACAATGATTGTATACGTAATAACATAACAGACTGTCATAGCTTTTTCACAAACTCTTTATATCGCAAAACATATTCGAAAAGAAGAAGATCTTTACTACATATTTTGATTAAATTAGCTTTGCATTGGATTCCAATTTTATTATTTTGATCTTCTTTCAGATGATATAGATAACATAAACCAGGGTGATTTACATGCATTGTCATTTGTCGATTGGATATCAGAATTTTCCCCCTCTATCCGGCGAGAGCGAAGTGGTGGGGATCTTTGCGCAGGAGGCGGGTGAAGGAGGTACTGCATCCCGTGGGTTGCTAGCAGTTATTTTTGCTACATCTGGGCCTGCGGGCGGCAGCTGGACAGTATGGCATCTTCCGTGAGGCTTATGGCCAAATCCAAGCTGCTTGGACTGACCCAAACTGGGCTCGTTAAGCAGGTATGTTGGTAGTTTGTTCTGCGCCAAAGTTATGGCAAATCTGTTTATCTGCAGTTTGTTATATAATGTGTTGATATGGCCGGTACGAACGAAATGGCACACCGACCAGATCTTGGCATTAACCCGTCAGAAATGTTAAACCCTCCCAGAGCCTATTTTTCATGTTGTTTGTCAACTTATGTCTGCATCTGCTGTCTGTATCATCATCTTATTTTATGTCAGGAATGTCATTGTGTTTTGCAACCAGTTGTGGCCATAACACCGTTATTTATCACATTGCCAAAACATGCCATGGATGCATAAATGCATGGTATTTGAATAAGTGATGTTCTTTTGCACAATTGCAATATCACCCTTATTTCACCTTGCCTGTTCAGGCTAGTTTTGTTACATAACCCCCAGTCTTTAAAACTTGGAAGAGCAGTCGATGTTTGTCAGTTTGCAAAACATGGCAGACTTCCATGAGATCTATTGGCAGGGTTGGAGCAAGAAGTTGAATGTTAGGTAAGAGTTTGATGATTGGGTCAGTTCACATTGTTTTGGGGCAGCCCATGGTACCATTGGCTAGGTATTGACCTGAGGCAAACATTGAGTGGAGCAGGAAAAGGCACTGCTGCTTATGAAAAAGAGGTGTCAATTGATGAAGGCAAAGGTAGCCCAAGGGCTAAATGTGCTACATTTATTGTAATGTATTATAGTTTTCTATATTGCTGCAATCTTATGCTGCATGACTAGATGCTGCTGCATATATGATGCACCTAGTCAGAGATCCATAAACTTAATTAAGGGACCTGAGCAAAAAAATCAAGTCAAACATTTTGTTTGCTCCTGGTTCTGCCACTTGTGCTGATCAGGTGAACTAGTCGTAAACAACTGGAGACCAATGAGTGGTGAGTTAGGAGCTGTTAGATTATTGTTGACACTGAAATACGCATGGATTTGTGCATGCTGCAAAGTTGGGTAATATTATGGTTTATTGCAAAATATTGAATAGTAAATTCAGTGTGACCTTGCCCTCTATGAGAGAAACAGATGGTGCTATCAGTTAGTAAGTGCAAATAGGATGGCCAAGAAAATCTTGGAGGCCTGCTCCCACAGCTATGATTGGAGCTATGCGAAACATCTTGTTGACCATCTTTTGCAGACTGGCAGTTAATAAGTTCCTTGAGTGGGTTTGATCCTGCCCCAATTGGAGCAGTGACCTGATGTGCTTGGGGCAGGGGCCAGTGGTCTGGTGATGGTGGCAGGTGTGGGGTACTATCCATGAGTTTTCAAATAATCTAGTTTTCATCTACTTTCTTCTTATTATCCCCATCAGTGTTCAATATTGGGCAGAATCACACTTTTTAACATTTAATTTTTGCTTTACTTTTGTGTGTTCCCAAATAATTTGCAGCAGGTGTAAATTGCATTGAGCCTTCCGCAATGTGAATTAGCTCATTGCTTTGGAGCTGCAGTGCTGACTACTGGTCTAGTTGGCATGCATTTTTGGGGCTGGTTCCTTGTAAGTACATTCAGTCAAAACTGGGGAGAGTAAAAGTCTTGTGCCTGCATATTGACAGGGAGATGATTTAATTGATGGAATCTCTAGTGATGGAGGCTGCATGAGCAGGCAGGTGCAGGACCTGGCAGGATGATAGGGCAGAGATCAAGATAATGATGGTGCAGTACAGATGATTGTGGCATATTTGGTTAGTGGACCTTCCTTGCCTTTATAGATTGTCACCACATCATATCTTTATGCATAAGTACTTTTTCAACTCTGCCTGATCTCTGGATATGGAGCTTTCACCGACAAATTTTTGTATCAATTGTTTATGAGATAAAGGAAAACAGTTAAACCCAATTTTTATTTTGGTCTGATCACAAACCAATAAATAATCAGATAAAAAGTTGTTCAAAGTTATACAAGCTCTATATGGCATGCTGTGTTTTGCTCTCTTATGAAGGGGAAGTCGAAAAAAGTCACTCAAAATTACCATCAGCTATCTGAAATTGTTCCATTTACCTCTTATTTGTTATGTGTCATGTTTTATGCCCAAATCAGCAATCAACACCCTGCAATTCCCCATTGGCTATACCCCCAATCCTGTGGTAAACATGATGTGCAAAACTATCTTTCATTTGTTTCCTTTTTGGACTAGAGATGTGTCAGAAACAACAGGCATGCCGCTTCTCATAAAATATGGCAATGGTTTCTGTCTTTGAGATTTTACAATAATTTTCCAAAGATTGTACCATGATTTGCAAGCACATGGCAGCATTGTGTCATGCCATTTAAAGACCCACTCCTCGTGCCATGTTCTGGTTGTGCTCCATCATAGTTCCCTCCCCTTCCATGTATGGCAATGTATAGTTGGCTCCCAAGCTCTCCAACATTTGCTGAAATTTGTATACCTGGATTAAAATACAAATGGCTCTGCAAGTATGAATTGTTTATCATAGACCCTGTCAAGCCAAAGTTCTGGAATCCTCCTGTACTAAACCCTCCATTTTCCTGCATGTTTGTGCATGGTACAGTATTTTTGTGCTGATTCTACCACTGGAAACATACAGCCAGGTATTGCAGGTAGTGACATGTATGCATATGGTAAGTACTGACTTGCATTGTCTCTTCTTTCCACAGCCTGTTGCGGGCCTGTCCACTGCTGCCAATGCCAGCAAGACAAAAAAGGTGGGGATGCCAGGGTTTTGCTTGATTTGCATTGTCTCCTTTGGATAGAATGCTTGTTGACCTGGTTATGATTGCTCAAACATCATGTGCTGATGTATAAAATGGATACATTAGCATTTATGTTTTTATGATTTTATTTGTATGAACATTGTATGCTGATGTGTTTACAGCTACAGCTACATTAGTATTTATGTTTTTATGATTGTATCATTGTGTGAACATCATGTGCTGATGTGTTTGACATCTACATTAGTATTTATGCTTTTATTAAGACTCTGTCAATAGTCTGGATAAGTCAAATTATCATTTTATTGGCATGCTTGGCATGCACATGACCTTCAAATGTTATTCCTGAGGTCAACAGTATTGTCCAGAAAGCTTAAAGGATGTTAGACAGGCATTTGTCGGTAACATGAGAAAAACTTTAGGGGCCTTTCAAAAAATATGTACTTTGATTATGTGCCTTGACCCTTGCCTTGATTCCCCGTTTTTCGTGGCGCGAACTGATGGGGGAAGGGGTACGGTGCGATCCCTCCCCCCTCCCTGGTGTTTCCAAAGTAATGACCATCAAGCCCAGCGGAAGACACGACGGAACAATGGAGAGAAGATTGGTCTCAAGGAGATCCCGCAATTGGTACTAGTTTGTATGTTGTGGAGTCATTAATTGCCCGTTATATTTGGCCAAAGGCCAACTACTCGTAAAAATCGCACTTCTTACCTTTACAACATCATGCATACAAAGCCATGCCTCGTGGCGGCACAAAATTTAAACAGGCGTATTCCTTGTTCAGTTCTGAGTACATTGGTGTATATTTTTGTATGTTTTGAGCATAGATTTGATTTATGGCTCCGTTAGTGTAAGAATGTGGGACCGCAGCGCGCGTACTGCGGCATCGTCCGTTACCGCGCGCACGGCCGCTCAGGTCGTAGATCGCCGCGTAGTTTTCCTGCAAAAACCTCCGACGTATGCTCCGAAACTAAAAGCTGAGAACACGTTTTTAGTTTCAAAATGCGCGCAGTAGATACCCTAGAGGCTACCGAAAATTTGGGCGTGACTTGCATAAGCTGCCGGAGGGTTTTTCTAGAAAAAACATCAGGAAGGTCGCACTGAATCCCTCTCCCTATCAGGGTGAGCTTTGAAATGCGATGTTCTCTAATTTCACGGTTTCTTCTGGTGTCGCCTGGTCAACAGTTTGATGGTGTGCTACAGTGAGGCAGCCATAATATATATGACGGCCAGACCTGCAGAAAGTGTGCCGAGACTCGAGATGTCACTGCTTCTAGTCGACTAGGAGGCAACATTTTGCGTTTATAATTTTTTGCTAAGGAATTGAATGGGTTGGCCCCTGTGGCGCCCCATCTGGAACCAGCGCCATAAAACCCTGATGCCGGGCCTCGCGCCGTCTCGCTTAGTTCGAATGTGTTCCGTCAGGTGGCGGTGGCGGCGCTTGGGGTCGCAGTAGGTGGCGCTGCCGCGGTGGGCTTCGCGCTGAACCAGTCCGTGAAGGCCTCCGTGCAGCTGCACCCGCAGCAGCTGCCCTGGACTCACAACGGCATCATCTCCTCCCTCGACCACGCCAGGCAAGTCGCCATCTCATCCGCTGCTGCCGCCCCACGACCGTATGGCGGCGGTGGCCACTGTGGCAACCTGGTGCCGGTTCTGTGTCGGAAGAACCTTGTTTGCAGCGCGGATACAGCCTGTGTGTGCAGTCACCACGGCTGATACCCTGCATATATTGGATTCGTTGCATTGTGCCGAACGAGCACGCGGTGGCAACACCCGGCTTTGACGCGCTTCTGCACACTGCGCTCGTTCCCACGCGTCCCACCGTACTACGTGCAGTGCTTCCCGGCGCGCCCGCGGCGGCGTTCTGCCGGCCTGACGGCGCCGCGTGCCCTTCCGCAGCGTTCGGCGCGGCTACGAGGTGTACAAGCAGGTGTGCGCCGCGTGCCACAGCCTGCAGTACGTGGCATACCGCAACCTGATCGGCGTCACCCACACCGAGGAGGAGGCCAAGGCGCAGGCCGAGGAGGTCATGGTGGGTCGGGCCGGTGACGGCCGGTCGGGCTGGTGACGCCTGTCGGGCCGGTGACGGCCTGTTGGGCCGGTGGCGGCCGGTCGGGCTGGCGACGGCCGGTCGGGCTGGCGACGCCTGTCGGGCCGGTGGCCGCCTGTTGGGCCGGTGGCGGCCGGTCGGGCTGGCGACGGCCGGTCGGGCCGGGACGCCTGTCGGGCCGGTGACGGTCGGTCGGGCCGGTGACGCCTGTCGGGCTGGTGACGGCCTGTCGGGCTGGCGACGGCCGGCCGGGCCCGGACGCCTGTCGGGCCCGGCCGGCTCTGCCGCGTGGCTACTGCTCCAGCCTTGTGGCCGTGGCCGTGGTAGTGGCCCTGCGGCGCAATAGATAAGGCCGTGTTTGTATTTGTGCGCGGAACGCGGGAAAATGCGGGTTTCCTCGCCTTGGCCATTTACAAGAGGAAACAAACCATCTCCCATGCAGCGTCCAAACTTAAAGCCGTTTGTGGGCTATTATGGGGATCAGCATGCCAGTTAAGCAGTGCTTGAAATGTAGACGCGTCTGACAGTCATCAGACTGAAGCTTCTGCGCGCGGGATGGCGATGGTGGCTAACCCGGGCCTTGCCGTCAGGTCACCGACGGGCCGAACGACCAGGGCGAGATGTTCGAGCGGCCGGGCAAGCTGTCCGACTACTTCCCCCGGCCGTACCCCAACGACGAGGCGGCGCGTGCGGCCAACAACGGCGCTCTGCCGCCCGACCTGACCTACATCACCAGCGCCCGACACGGCGGAGAGGTCAGTGGTGTGATTGGTCTGGCCGTCCATCCATCCGACGTGACTGATTTTCACGAGAACATGGCGTGGCGGAGAGGTCACTACACTACCATGTTTCGGACCTGACCTGCGGCATAGCGACCTGGCCCGTGGACCGCGGCGATGGTTAGCAGCGCTCCTGACCTGACCTGTGTCGGAGGCACCTGGCATTGTGTGGAGGGTAGCACCGCCAGTCGTGTTACCCGACCTGGCTTGACCTACTCAGGCCCCCTGGCCCATATCGCCGGTACCATGCGCACTGTCCACCCGACCCGGCCTGGGGGTACTCGCTGCAAGAGGGCCCTGGGGGGACGGGGTTCGCGACTGCCGACCAGTCGGCGAGGCCTGCCGGCTGCCCCGGTCTCCTGTGCTGGCGGCTCTGCCGCGGCTTCGGCTGGGCGGCATTGTTAACCGTAATTCATATTTGAACGTCATTTTACTGATGGTTCTTCGACGTGAGCAGTGGCAACCTGAGCGCGGCTTTGGCGCATCGCTGCAGCGTCTCCGCTGAGTTTGGCCTGCACACCCCCTGGCCGTGCCCCTGGGCCGGCGCGGCGCCGTCTACGGACGCGGGCTGCCGTGGCTGTCGCAGTGACTCCCACCCCCTGGCCGTGCCCCTGAGCCGGCGTCGGCGCCGTCTACGGACTCGGGCTGCCGTGGCTGTCGCAGCGACTTCCGCTGAGTTTGGCCTGCACACCCCCTGGCCGTGCCCCTGAGCCGGCGCGGCGCCGTCTACGGACGCGGGCTGCCGTGGCTGTCGCAGGTGACTCCCACCCCCTGGCCGTGCCCCTGAGCTAGCGCGGCGCCGTCTGCGGACGTGGGCTGCCGTTGGCTGTCGCAGCGACTCCCACCCCCTTGGCCGTGCCCCTGAGCCAGCGCAGCCGCCGTCTGCGGACGCGGGCTGCCGTCGTATGCGGACCGCGCCGCCCCGGCCGCCTTGGAACCCGGGCGCCCGTGACGCGACCGCCGGCCGCCCTCAGGACTACCTGTTCCATCTGCTGACCGGCTCTGCGAGCCGCCGGCCGGCGTCAAGCTGCAGGACGGCCAGTACTACAACCCGTACTTCCCGGGCGGCGCCATCAGCATGGCCCAGGGCGCTCTACAACGAGGTAAGCGCCCGCAAAGGGAAAGAGAGGCCTGTGGCTCCTGGTCCGTTGTCAGCGTGAGTTGTGTGCGGAAAACAACCGATCTGCAGTTTACGAAACGGGTTGTTGGTGAAACGAAAGTCGTGGAGCCGTTGGGATATGGACGAAAAATGCACAAAGGAATTGCTAAGGGAGTTCGTAACTGGCTCCAGCGGTGTACCGTGGCGGTAAAGACGGTAGTTGCGCGGATCGGCAGGCAATTCAGCGATCGCGGTTCCCCGGGGCTGGTGCAGTGCGCGCATCGATGGGGCGTTACTCCGTGCGACGAGGGTCGGTGTCGGTTTGTTGTGTGGCCCTGGGCACCGTCGCCATTGGTACCGGCCTGCGGCGGGAAGCCACGGGTCTGGCCTCCCGCGTCCGCGCCTGGGCCGCGATCTGGTCGCCTTACCTTGAATCACGCATAGCGCGATCGTTGGGTTTCGTATCGACCCGTACACTCTCAGCCAGGATCATGACGGCTGCTGCATCCGCTGTAAACCGGACGGGTCGCTGCCGGCCGCCTCAGCCGGTGTGGACCGAGTGGTGTGAAAGACTCCATGCGGCGGAGATCCAACTGGCTCGCCTCGATTGCGAGTTGCTGGTCTGTGAGAGAAGCGAGCGACAGGGCACTGGACACGATGGACGGTCTCGTCGGCAGATCATCGAGTACGAGGACGGCACGCCGGCCACGCAGAGCCAGCTGGCCAAGGACGTCTGCAGCTTCCTGAAGTGGACCGCCGAGCCGGAGCACGACACCAGGAAGAAGATGATCATCAAGGTGAGTGGCGGCGGCGGCGTCTGCTGCCGCCGGGCTCTGTGGAGCCGCCGGCGGGCCGCCTGCGAGCGCGGCCGGTGTCGGCGAGGCGTCGCACACCCACCAGCCAGTGTCTGTCAGAGTGGTGTCGGTGGCCGGCGCCTTTCACGTGCCGTCTTCCGTGGCCGCCGTCCTGGATGCCCTTCGGCCTGGACCGCCAACCCCCAAACGCTCGTTTTGGTGATTTGGTGCCGCATGTGGCCAGTTTGAGGCGCGTTCGCCTCCGCGGCACCGAATTAGGCCTGTCGGCAGGTGAACCCCTGCCGCTGTCCGTGTTTTGTGGCCCGTCTGTGCTGCTCTGTGCGGCTCTGTCCAGATGCTCCCCCCCCCCCCCCCGCGCCGTCACTCCTCGCGCCGGGCCGCTAGCCCCCTCCCCTCCTTCCCCACACACCTGTCGCGCCGGGCCGCTAGCCCCCCTTCCCTCCTTCCCCACAAACCTATCGCGCCGGGCCGTTTAACCCCCCTTCCCCCCCCTTTTTCCCCACACACTATCGCGTCGGGCCGTTAACCCCCCTTCCCTTTTTCCCCACACACCTGTCGCGCCGGGCCGCTAGCCCCCCTTCCCCTCCTTCCCCACAAACCTATCGCGCCGGGCCGCTAACCCACCCCCCCCCCTTCCTCCTTCCCCACAGACTGTTGATGATCTTCTCGGTGCTGATCAGTATCTCGTACTACATGAAGAGGCACAAGTGGAGCGTCATCAAGTCGCGTAAGCTCTTCTACCGGCCCAAGGAGCAGTAGAGACCGGATGGCGGGCGCCGCCGCCGTGTCGCCGCGATGATCTAGAGTGCTCGCCGGCGGCCAGCCCCGGCCGGCAGCGGGTTTATGGGTGAGCGGACGCCGCCGTGCCCGGCCAGGGGCGGGGTTCCAGCTGACCTCTACCGAACGGAAGAAGAAGACCCTGAAATCTGACTTGTTACGGTTTTTACTATCGCGTGAAAAGTGCTGGTGTTTTATTCTGCACGGGCGCCGATCGTGTAACAGCAGCTGATTTCCTCCCGCCGGCGCGTGGCTCGTGCCCGCCCCTGTGCCCGGTCAGTGCGGACAAGTGTACGTGAGACGTGTGTGCGGCGCGGGCCGGACTGTCGCCCGGGCCGGTCTGATCCGGCCAAATACACTGCGCTGCGGCAACCCCGCCTGTTTGGTCGGCGCGGCGCGGAACTCCAGCACCGGCTCCCGGGACGAGGAAGTGTTCCGGGCCTGGTCCGGTGCGGCACGGTTTGCCGGCGTCCCTTATCGTAAATTTCACGGCATACGTGTATTAGGGGGCCCGGACGTGTGCCGCGGTTCATATTTGGTATTTACACCGAGTTTGGAAAACAAATGTGACACGCGGAATCTGTGAGGCAGGGGCGTGGTTTCACGTAATCAGTTGTGGATGTGAGCGGCAAATGCTTACCGTAACTACACAATACCCTTTAGAAGGGTTTCTCCCCGGACTAGATCAGCTTCTCAAAGTCGGGAGGGCGGTAGCCCTCAGCTAAGAGGAAGCTACACCCGTGCTGCGAGGATATGACTGTAGGCGAGTAACTTAAAGGCATGGCAGCCGATTACAAGAAAGCTGTTGTCATAGATCACTAGACGTTAACAACCTCCATACGACTGAAACCTAGTTACGTGGCAGGCAATACGTTGCTGTCCGTAATTTACCTCAGTGTTTTTCCTGGGCTCGAGCTCCACATCTTTCCGCTTGAGCGCAGTGCTGTGCGGAGGCGGCGTGCCTGGGCGCACGTGTTCCGTCGGTACAACAACCGCGTCTGTTTGTGAATACATGCGTGACCTCTGGCGCTGCATTTCGTCCGAGGTGGAGCCTGCTGAACCGTAGCGTTCGTGAAAGGAGACTTGCATAAGTGGCTCAAACAAAGGTGTCCCAATCACACAATAGCCACGAAATTGCGAAGCAGGCGAATTGAGTTCCTTTATGGGGCGTGCCGGAGCGAGGGAGACCATCACTCGTTCGCTATTGGCTCATCCGTCCGTCGGTTGTCTGTTAGCCGCCTTTAAAATCGTGCCCAAAGTGTTAGTACTTGTTTTATCCTGCGCAATGGCATTTATGTTCGGGAGCTGCGTTGTGAGTGATCATGCCAAGTGCAACATGTTGACCTAGATGTGGCGGCAACAAGTGGCGGATAGGACTAAGGACGGCGGTTGTACCGTACGACTGTCACATAGCTCCAGTGCTACATCACATGCTGCGCCGCACTACACGGCGAGACTTGACCACCAATTTCATCGGGTCGGTTCGCTGAACAGTACACACCGCTGCAGCCTCCAGTTGGATGAAACCAGAACGGATGGTGACGTTTGGCGCGTAACTACGACGCCAGCTGCGCACACAAGAGGAGGGGCTCATGGGACTCGCCCACGCCCCCGTTAGGCTCATGGGCAGTTTTCACCACAAAACAGCTGAATATAATGCCAGAATTTGGCGATGGAGGAACTATTTTGGCTATTAAAACTAGTGGACAGCCGAGTGAACATGCCCAGTGCGTAGCTGAAAGAGTTACTTTCTTAAAGAGAAAGGCACCAGGGCAAACCTGCCCGGATAGCTCGTTGATAAGCACTGCGCCTGTAAGCGTTTATGGGGTGCGTTATTCTGTTCGTAGTGCGTAGATCCTGTCAACGGGACTGGATTTCACTGGTAAAAAATAACCGCCCCCCCCCCCCCCCCCTCCCCGCAACCCAGTCTCAAATCATGGTAGTCTCCTCCGCCGTAACTGCCCTCCTTCATGCCGTGAAGATAAACTGGTGAACGACTTAAACTAGTGTTAACAATGTTGACCTCTTCGTGCTAATCATCTTGCTTGGCCCTGCCCAGAGTCCCTAATACATAGTTCCAAATGTGTGTGACCAGTTGGAGCTTAAACCATTTGAACGATTCGAGATTGCTTTCCCAGGACACAGTCTGTTTTCCACATGCGCCTCTGTCGCACGGACCTTCCTTAATCCGCCATCGGCCATGTAACGCTTGGACATATGAGAACAAGTACAACATATTCGCTCTCGTGACAAGGAGCCTGGGGGCCGACGCCGGGTTGCAGCTG